TGTCTGTCTGTCTGTCTGTCTGTTGTGCATGTATGCATGTATGCATATTAGTCTTATACACATGCATAAGTAAAGAACTGAAAAGTGCATAGTGTATTTTTTGTATAGATACATATACACATCTACAGTTCAAATAGATAGATACAAACATGTACATATCTATATGTCTATGTGGTATGTGTATAGGTGTATGTATATGTATATGNNTATGTATATGTGTATTTGTATGTGTATGTGCGTTTTCTTATGTATATGTTTTTGTATGCGTATATGCATATGTATATGTATGGGTGTGTTATATGTATATGTAAATGTATATGCATGCAGGCATCTCTACATATCTGTATTATCTACATACATATTTTCCTATATACGCACACTGACAGCTGTCTATTCATCCATCCGTGCAATTGCACGCCACTATACATTCGTTTGTGGCATGCAAGTGGTTACACAAGGGCATGTGTGTAAAAACAACACCTTCGACAACAAGCCCCCTCCCCACCCCCCGCACACATCCCCACCCGCACGCCCATAAGGCAAGGACGGTTCCCCGCATGGCATATGGGCGAATAGTACACACAAGTAAACACATTAACTTCTCGAACCCCAAAACATGGGTTTGTGCTGCAATCTGCGAACCTTAAGGACCGATGGACACTTGGAGACTGAAAAGGTTGCAGAGCATCCCGGCTCGAAGAGTTCTCGGAACGGAAAGACTCGCAGTGTACCGTCTACTAAGGGTCCAACCAGAGGCAGAGGCCCCAGCGCGGCCAGCCTCAGCTAGGCCAGCGAGACCAGAAAGTCCGGGCAGTCCGGTGGTTCCGGCGAGCCCAGCGAGTCCACCGGAGCGCAAAGGGCCGCCCAGCCTGGCGAGCAAAATCCTCGGTCTGAGCACCAAGAGCAGCGAGGCTCCGAGCCCTGCTGCGACATCAGCTCCCGTCTGTGACCAATCCCTCATTTCAGGGACTGGAGATAGAAGAGCAGCTGAAGAAAGAGGCTCGTCCTTCCATCGCCGTCACTTGTAAAGCATATATGTACAGTTGCAAAGGTCGAAGACTTGCTGCTTGGATTCAGCGGATGGGCCCGATTGCAAGCTGCAAATAGTTGCATTTGCGCACCGTGCCTGAGGCAAGTAGCTTTATCTGAGAGCTCCAACAGCCTTCGGGAGGACATTTCTTGTGACATCTTTCGTGCACATTGAGCTCTTCAGATTGCGTCTCTGCCCTAGGTGTACTTCAACAGCCTTAGAGTAGAAATGCAGCGGGTTGAAGCCCGTCATGGATAAGCCCCAGCACGTCATACTCGTGCAGGGAAGTGAACGTGGGATTGGGGTTCGATCCCGTGACTGTGCGGATAAGCTCCAGTCGTTAGCTTGCTCAGATTCCAGGAGAAAGTGCGCCAGAAAGCATTGCGCAAGGCAGGGTTGGCTGGCACGCAGCAGACACTTTGTCATCGTGATTGTTGGGCTGATGATGATGTGAACAGCGGCGACAGGGAGGACGACGAGCATGGCGATGGCGATGGTGGCTCACATCATGATGATGATGAGGATGGGGATGATGAGGATGATGATGATCATGATGAATGGTGCCGCTGCTGATGACGATGGTGATGATGATGGTGGTGGTGTTGATGATGACTATGTCGTTATTATCGTGGCTTTGTTGTTCTTGTTCGGGGTGGGTTCTTTTTCTGTGTCTGCCGCTCTGTGTGTGGTGGAGTAGCTATAGCTGGGCCAGCCCCTCCGTCAAGAGGTCGCGATGGGTGTGGAAAAAAATCGCATGTGCCCAGGAGATCAAGGACCTTCGCAAAGAGTTCCACCAGCTCTCTTCAAGCGCAGCCCGGCAGGACAAAAAGATTGAAGCGCTGTTCGAACTTTCTAAGCTCAATTCACGCGATGGATTGCTCCTGGCTTTGACAAACTTACATCACCCCACCGGTCTGCTATGGTGTGCTGCAAAAGCTTGAAAAGTTGATCCTCCTGGAAGCTCGCGAGAACCGCTCTTGTCGACTGAATTCAGTCGGGCAGGATTGCCTCTCTGATTCACTTCGGTGCGTGTTGGACATCCCCTGACTGTCGGATTCGCCGAGGATCAAGATGCCCCCAAGACTCTTGAAGGTGCCTCTTTGCAGGTGTTCTGTCCTCGCACCCGCTTCTGCCCCATGGAAGGTCTGCAGGAGCAGATCAAATTCGAGGAGAAGGTGTACCGTGACCTCCAAAATCAGCATGGGCCTCGCGGGCCACGCAAGCCTTGGGCGCGTGTCTGATCCTTCAGGATAGACGAGCTCAAGACTCAAGTTGGGCTTGAATCCCAGCATATGACCAACAGTGCCATCTGAAAAGAAGGGAGCACGATCCCGCCGAGGCAGAAGTCGATTAACAAAAGCGAGGATCAGCAGAAGCTTGGCCGCACTTCTGGCTACAACGACTGGCCAGTGCTCCAAGTGCATGGTTGCCGCAGGCAGGCCACAGAGACCCATGGGCGGCCGAACTTCCTTGAGCAGCCGGACGACAATGGGCCGTCAAGGCAGACGAGCTCTCGGGGAGAGCTGTCACGACCGGCAAGTGCAAGAGAGCACGCCGAACAGTCGAGACCAGCCAGTGCCAGAGACCAGGCATCCGAGTCCAGGCCAGCCTCCGTCGGCGACAGGTCACCAAGCCCGTCGGGAGCAGACGAGTCGCTCGTGGAGCAACCTGCGAGAGCCTCGAGCACGCGGGCTGAGCCTACTGGCTCTCTCAGTGCCAGGCCCGAGCACCTGGCGAGGTCGCTCAGCGCCCGAGCCGACCTTCCAGCGTCTCCAAGCGCAGCGAGCGCAGCAAGGACGGCTCCATCTTCCAGACCTCCCAGTTCAGCTCGGAGTTCCGGCCTCGGTTTGGCCTTGGCTGTCGAGAGGCTTGGCAATCGTGCTTCCGCAGGCATCCACGAAGCTGTGCCAGGCGAGGAAGGCCAAGACGAGGTCGCTGAGGATGTTGAAGCACACTCAGCCCCACGAAATGTTGGCAAGAAGACATCAGCTGTGGATCTAGAGCTGCCGAGCGGGGCTGCCTCGCCAGAGCCCAGCAAGGTGAGGCCTCTTTGTCGACTTGCTGTTGAGACGCTTCGTGACTCTTCGCCAGGTGTTTCCAGGCGGGGCAGGCTCCGAGCCCAGCAGCGAAATCGAAGGGGAGGCCGAGGCGGCGGCGATGGCGAGCGCTGTGCGGAGCTCCCCTGGCTCCAAGACACGACCTACTGCCGGGAGCCTCGGAGCCGATTGTCGTGATTCCGTCAAGCCGAATGGATTAGGAGCGAACCGAGGCAGAAGGCTTCGACTCTGTTCAAGAGGAGGCCCATACTCTGCCCGCACCTCCAGAAACCTGGCAAGATTAGAAGCCTCCAGGCGACCACCTCAGTGGCAGAACTGGTAAAAGTCCAAGCGCGCACAGAGGCCTGAGATGTTGCGTTGGCCTATTTTGGCTGGGAGCAATGCTTTTGCAGGAAATGCGGGGGGAAATCCACGACATTGTCACGCCCTCGGGGGCTGGCAGGACACGTTTCGCAATCTGCCGTTCCGTGAAAGATCTGACGGCTCGTCTGCCGTCTGGCTGGCTACGAACTAACTCTTGCCGCTGGCAAACCACATGTGTCTTAGGAGTTCAATGAACATAACATCGCGTTTGGATTCGAGGTGGACTCCGATTGCTTCCCCAAGTGCTAGTGCCTTGTTGTGATGGACAAAGCACGACGATAGCAAAGAACAGGCGAATAACGAAATAATATTATACGTAAATGTGTGCATTATATATATATATATATATATATATGGTAGCCCCCCCATGAACTACCGACCCTCGTTTTGTATCGTAAATACCGTGTTAAACCTACTTTTCCGGCAGGTCCGGATTCTGTATCTTGCAAAGACTGCCAAAATCAAACTCACATTTCAAGGGAAAGTGCTAGACAACTCGTTCAGGTTCGACGTGA